TGCACTGTGTTAGCAGCACACTTATATTAAAATATGTTTGCCTGCCTGGCAAGTGCCAGCTCCTGAGTTCAATTCCTGGTACACCCCCCCCCCCCAGCATATTGTCTGAGTACAATTTTAATCGTTTTTTCCTATTTTAACAGTCATGTAGATAATCATTTAGTTTATTGATTTTCAAACTGCTGGTCTTGATTACTTGGTGAGTTACACAATTAATTGAATAATAATTACCTGCATGTTTTAAAGACAGTGACAATATTGTTGTTTCTGATATGCTGGTATATGCTGGGTTGCAGCACAATATTAAGCTTAATGTGGACTTTTGAAAACTATTGATGTGGTTAATTTCTAAATTCTCTTTAGCAAGCTTCCAAACCAAAAGTACCTCCAAAATCTGAAAAAGAAAACGATCCCTTGCGAACACCAGAAGCTTTGCCTGAAGAAAAGAAGATTGAATATAGATTGTTAAAGGAAGAGATTGCCAAGTGAGTGGCATTTTATATAATTTGTTTTATTTATTTATTTATTTATTTATTTATTTATTTTTTGTATTTTAGGGAAGGCTCTACAGGGTGTTCATGGTCTCACTACTAGATCAGACTTGTAGTGATCTGTCTGTTTTCAGCCTCCCAAGAGCTGGGATTACAGGCAGGTGCCACCAGGCCCAGTCTCAATTGCTGTCTCAGTGCACCCTGGGGCTGGGGCCAGCATGGCAGGCCCGGGGATCGAAATTCCTGCCCCTTTGCCTGCTTGCAGGCACTTTATAATCTGCAGAGCTATTTGGCTACCCCCCTATAATTTGTTTTAAAAGTTGGTGCCGTTTCCCAAACTTCCTTTTGTCTATATGAAGTTTAATGGGAAATGAGGGATAGTGATCTTTACCCTAGACGCAGAGTTGATGTTTCTGTAATGCTCACCAAAGGAGGAGCCACATGATTGTCTGTAGACTTATACACCAAGAAGCAAGGAGATCTGCCTAACTGAAACTAAAAGCACTTGAAGGGGAGACCTGGAATGGCTAATTGGAATGCCAAATTAGGGCCTTTGTATTGGTCCTCACTGCAGTGAGTCAGTGTGGTTGGCATTTTTAATCTTAGGAAAAAGAATCTTTTTTTTTTTTTTCCATAAATTTATTGAGAAACAAGTAGCAATGAGACAGTTTCAAACCAAACTGGTAGGACAGTTTCAATAATTAACACATTGTATACATTCTTCCTAGTGGTTAATTGCTGTACAAGATGCAGACGTGATATCCTACTTACAAATACCATTAGAACAAATCCCTCTATTCATTAAGAGAATGTAACTGTATATCGATCCTAAAAGAATCATTTTAAAGAAAAATAATTTCACTTTTTGGTGTAATGCTTCTTTTTTGTTACTTTAGTCGTGAGAAACAGCGTTTGATTAAATCAGACCAGCTAAAGACAAGTTCATCATCTCCAGCAAATTCAGATGTAGAAATTGATGGGATTGGCAGGATAGCAATGGTTACTAAGCAGGTTACAGATGCAGAAGCAAGACTTAAAAGACACAGGTGAGCTCCATTATCTGACTACTTTAGGTTTCTAAATGTTCCTCAGTAGAGGTACTAAATGTATTTTTACACTATGTGTGTGATTAATAAGCAACATATAGGATCACAAATTTTCACGCTAGTTAAAATTATAAAGGCATATTAAGTTATAAATTTACATAAAATACTAGAATTAACATTTAAATAAAAACATAAAGCCTTCAAAGGAAAAATACTTCAAATTTATTCCTGGCTTATCTGTTGCTTAAAACCGTTATGAACCTCCTTGTGGAATTTTCTTGTAATCCTCTGGCATGTTTTCAAAAGTACCTTAATTGGAAGTATGTTTTTATTAGAGATGGGCTTGATGTTTGGAAATTGTTGTTGCCTAATCTGGACAGTAAAACACTTGGTCAAGTTACTGTGCCTCTTAGATGTTTTGTGAAATTGCTGTGCTGCTTATCTGATTTTGAAACTTTGCAGAATATCTCTAAAATCTGGTGGGATGAATATGTTGACACATTTTACTGAAATCATTACCATATATTTGATAACAAAATTTTATCTTATTTTGAGTATGTAGTTTTTGCATGCCAACCACCATCAGATCATTAGATAATGAAGAGTAAAATTATTTGTTATCCTCAATTATTCTAAAACTTTATTCTGCTTTTAGGTTTACAAATACATGGGGAGGTTCTGTGCAGAGGTAGTAGGACTTTATAGAAGCTGACTAAGCAATTTTTGAACTTATTAAACCATCATAGTAAAAAACAGTTAGTCATGAATTAAATCTTAATATTAAAATATTAATCTTTAGTAATTATTAATATTCAAACAATCTAATAACTTTTAAAGAGGTTTCAAAAGTTCATCTATACTTAAGGAAAAAGAGTACAAACTTACAGCTTTGTTTCTAACATTATAGTTGCCATAGTCTTTTTTTCTTAAACCCTGAAAAAGAGTGCAACTTAGGGTGTTTTTGTAAGGCAACAAGGGACCGGTGAGACAACTCAGTAGTCTACAGCTCCTGCTTCTGCGAGCTTAGGCAGGCGGAGGAGGCCCTGTAGATCCTTGGCACCACATGCTGTACCAGCCCTCAGGGCAGGCTGAACCGGCCGAAACCAAACAAAACAAAAACTATAAGGCAACAAAAGTCACAAGGAAATAGTGACTGCAAAGTGTTATATATAAAGATGGATTTTTTTTTTCCATGTTGACTATGGTATTGGATACCAATTATTAGTATTTATGAATGTGTTTTGCTCTGAAAATTAGTCTTGTGCTAACTACCCTGTTTCCTCTGAGGTATAACATCATCTTATGTACTACTAAAAGATACTGCTGAACAATGATAACTGTTAAAACAAATGATAATTATTTTAAAAACTTTTGTCTTTATACCAATTGTAACACTTTGTTTTTATGATTCACTATAATAGCTGTGACTCTTAAGTTTAGACTATAATATTTGATATTTTAAAAGATTTAAAATTGTTTAAATTTAATCAGATGTTTGTATTTTTGTCTTTTTTGTTTCTCTGCGTAGTACCTCCATATATCTGTAGTTACTTAAAACTTAGATTTTTTTCTTTACTTCCTTGTATTGCTTTGAATAAGATAAATTTAAATATTTATAAGTTAAATATGCTTAATAGCATTTCCTAGATTTTTGTACATTTGGATTCTTACATAAATGAGGGAGAATATAGCAACTTTCTCAGCCCTTGTTGAAGATCCATCATATCAGGTCAGGTTCAACCAACCCTGAACATAGTACAGGAACATTTTCTGTGGTAATTCAAATTTTCTCAAGTTTACATGATTTTGATAAAAAGATCACAGTTGGTTTTGTAAAATGAAGCTCAGTTTGGATTCCTGTATGATGATAAATACAAAAACATACTTGTAGCTGTCACAGACAACGTGTGTCATGTATAATGTACCTTCACCTGTGCCCAGCTGTGCACGGAAACCAGAGATTCACGTGTGCCGGGCAAGTGCTCCAGCACTGAGCGACACCCGCAGCCCATAGATGGTATCAGTCTGAAAGTTGAGAAAATAATGATAATTTTGTTATTTTTCACTTAGACTTCTCTTGATGAAAGATGAATCTATTTTAAAGAATCTTGTACAACAAGAAGCCAAGAAGAAAGAATCTGTTCGGAATGCTGAAACAAAAATTACAAAACTTACTGAACAGCTTCAAGCAACTGAAAAAATTCTCAGCGTTAACAGAATATTTTTGAAGAAGCTTCAGGAACAAGTAACAGTTTTTTTAAAAATTAAAATATTGTAGTCTGGTGATTACATCATTTTTATAGTATAGTCAGATTTTCTAAATTGCAAGGTAAAGTTGTCAAAATGTATGTGATGCAGCTTTTAAGATGTAATATTGTAATATTTTTATTTTTAGTCCAATATTCTAAAAGTGTTGTGTAAGAATCTATCTGTTCTCATAAGATTATTATTTACATCCTTGGACTTTTTTTTTTGTATTTCCAGATTCACAAAGTTCAACAGCGTGTTACAATTAAGAAAGCTTTGACTCTGAAATATGGAGAAGAGCTTGCTCGGGCAAAGGCAGTGGCCAGTAAAGAAATAGGAAAACGGAAACTGGAACAAGATCGCCTTGGAGTAAGTTGTGTGTGTGTGTGTGTGTGTGTGTGTGTGTTTTGGCGGAACCAGGGATTGAACTCAGGCCCTTGCGCTTGCCAGGGAAGCACTTATTCTACTGAGCCATCTCCCTGGCCCCCTCTTAGAGTAAGTTGGACAAGCAGACTTTTATGATACTTGTAAAGCTTAGAGATGTATGAAGTAACTCAGACATTTTCTTGTAAATTGAAAGAGAATGAGATTAAAACTTTGTTTTTAAATGACATCTGCATTTTTGGATGCTTTTTATTTTGTCTTAACTTTAGTTTTAGTAGGTTTTAGATTAAGTAGAACAATTGGTGGAGACTCATGAATTCTGTTTTATTGTCATTTAGTTTTTTAATATTGGCATTTTATTATAACAATAAGTTATTGTATCAAAAATTACTTATAAAATCACAGCAATATAAAATATTGGTATCACCCCCTCCAGCCAAACAAAATGATAAGACTGGACAATTCTCCAATATCAAGTCCAAGAAAACACTCAGCAGAACTAATTGCTATGGAGAAAAGACGACTACAAAAGTTGGAATATGAATATGCCCTGAAAATTCAAAAATTAAAAGAAGCCAGAGCCCTTAAAGCAAAGGAACAACAGAGTATGGCTCCAGTGTTGGAAGAGGAACCGGAATTTTCTTTACCTCAGCCATCACTTCATGATTTGACACAAGATAAATTAACTCTGGACACTGAAGAAAATGATGTTGATGATGAAATTTTGTCTGGTTCAAGCAGAGAACGAAGAAGATCCTTTTTAGAATCTAATGCTTTTACTAAACCTAACCTTAAACACACTGATACACCTAACAAAGAATGCATAAACAAACTTAGTAAAAGCACTGTAGAAAAACCAGAACTTTTTCTAGGATTAAAAATTGGTGAATTGCAGAAATTATATTCAAAAGCTGACAGTTTAAAGCAATTAATTTTAAAAACCACCACAAGCAGTACAGAGAAGATTTTGTATGGTCAAGTAAGTGAACATTTTATATTCTTTATGAAGTCTAGAATGCATCTTAGCTTTATTTACCTTATATAATTTTTATCATCATGCAGGAGATTTCTTTGGATGTGGATTTTGTTACAACACAGAGTAAAACCACGGAAGTAAAGCCATGTCATTTTACACCCTACCACAGTCCCCTTCTTGTTTTTAAGTCCTACAGGTATGAAAGCTTCAATAAGCTTGATTTTTAGCATAACTACATTATTTTTGAGTTATTTTACCTTGAGCATTTAATGTGACTTACAAGGTAATGGAACTTTGGACCCTGAAAAATGGACTTGTTTTCTTAGAGAAAATAAAAATTAAGTAGAGTGTTACTGTATTCAGAGCATATTCAGAAAGTGAGGTTTAGTTCATCCTTACTATCAGTTTCTAATCTTGGTGGCTGATGGGAATGTGAGTTCTAGATTTTTGTTTCTTAGGAATTTTAAGAAAAATAATTGAAATATCATGAAATTTTTTTTAACTTCTGAGTTTTCAATTTTACTACTCAGTCTAAGGAGTGCCTTAGTAAGCCTTCATGAAGTTAATTTAGGCATTCTCAGATGACTAGCTTTATGAGCGGATGTCCTGAAACGTTTTCAGACTTCCCAAAGTTGTGAGACTCTTAGATCGGTAAGCTTAATGATAAAATTATGAAGCCCTTTCAAAGTGCTACAGGCTTTTTTCTAACTTTTAAAAAAAAAAAAATTATATTTGTTGGTAACATGTACAAGCAGTACTAAGAGAGCACTACTTTTAGAATACATTATTCCTTTATTTTCTATTTCAGATATCTTATGTACCCAAAGTAGCTTATTCCAGTCACTTGATAGTCTGTTTATAGAGTTAATTTTGGTATTAGTTGGATAAGTAGTAGGCTCAGAGCATGGAATTTTTTAGAGATGGTGTCTCCCTTTGTAGTTCAGGCTGACCTTGAACTCACTATCCTCCTAGCTTTCTAAGCAGTATTTATTGGAGCATAATGTGCCTGTCCATATTCTCTTCTTAGATTTAGTCCGTACTATCGAACGAAGGAAAAGCTTCCATTGAGCTCAGTATCATACAGTAATATGATTGAACCAGATCAGTGTTTCTGCCGTTTTGACTTAACAGGAACTTGTAATGATGATGATTGTCAGTGGTGAGTAGTTTTTGTTTGTGAACTTTTTATAATTTAAACAGAGATCTTGTTTGACTCTGATATGTTTTTGATTGTCTTTTCCTTATTTTCATTTTATTTTAGGCAGCATTCACATGACTATACACTTAGCCGAAAACAGCTATTCCAGGACATTCTGTCATATAATCTGTCTTTGATTGGTTGTTCAGAGACAAGCAATGATGAAGAAATTGCTTCTGCAGCAGGTTTTTAAAAGATTTCTTATTCTTCACCAAGAAAATTTGAATTTATACCATTTAAAACCTTTATATATAATATGTATATATCGACTTTAGATAACTGTATGTTCAGTATGTTCACCCAAGACCCTTTTATGTTGATCTGCTACTAGTGTTGCTTTTCAAATTTAAATTAGCTAAATTTCAAAATTTACTCCCTCAGCACCAACAGCTATGTTTTAAGTGCTGATTAGCCATGTGTGGCAAGTGTGCACCATTAGTACAGCAGAGGCTGCAGAACCTTGTTTTGATAGAGTCCATTTAGCAGTTTCTTTAGAAAACAAATTGACCAAGTTGTATAGACACTATGAGTTTTAGTATAGGCTGTTGTTTTCAAAAATAGAGATCTGGAATTTAAGATGAGTATAGCTTCTGTTTCTTTACAGAAGTAGAAAGGACTTTATTCACTTTAACATTGTAGAAAGTAAAGATTCCTAGCAAACACTGTGACAAAGTATTGTTTTTTAAGAGATTTTGTTGCCAAGTAATCTTAAGTGTTCTCCAAGTCAAGGGAATTAGCACAAAGTTAAATAATTATCACCAAAGAGTGACTGAAAAGGCACTAAATTTGTTTCATTGTTCTCAGTAGTTTGGGGCTTCAACTTTTTTTAAAAGTTTTTTTATTATAATTTTATTTTAAAGAGTAAAAACAAGAACAGGAAAAACAAGCAAAGACAGAAACAGGGTGACATGTAACAAAACATACATTACAGATTTTCAAAACAAAAATAGTTGATTAACAGTGATTGATATATTTTCTATTTTTATCATCATATCTGTTGCTCAGATTGACAGATACAGTTGTGCAAGATGGGACATATGATTGAATATTACCACATGCTTTCAAGAAATCTTAAATTTTTGTTCTTGATTCTCATTTTCTTTTATTACCTTTTTAAAAATTTATTTTAAAGAGTACAGTAATAATTGATATGACGTTAGAAACGGTACACATTTAGAAGACCAAGATGATAGGTATTTCAAGTATGGTTTTAGTATTACACATTGCTGCCCTCAATGTAGTTGCTGAGTGCATAGATATCAACATGGAGAGTTAGTCAGGGTGAGAATTTTACCCATTAAATGCTATTTTCAAAAACCTGACAAAAATTCTTTGGATTATTGCTTTATCCAACTTGTATACATACATGTATGGTTTTGCCCCTACCTTGTTTCCTAATTTTTCTCGTTTCTCTTTTTTTTTTTTTTT